CCCCAAAACCCCAAAACCCCAAAACCCCAAAACCCCAAAACCCCTGGTTCAAGATTACAAACAAAAATAAATCCAACGAAATGATTAAGATAATAAATAATTGATAAATTTCATTCACACATCAAATTTAACTCCTTGAGCTAGAGGAAGTGAATTACTGAAGTTCACAGTGCAAGTACTTCTTCTCATGTATTGCTTCCATGAGTCACTTCCACTTTCTCTACCACCACCAGTCTCTTTTTCACCACCAAAGGCACCACCGATTTCAGCACCTGATGGGCCAATATTGCAATTAACAATACCGCAGTCACTACCTGTTGGACCTACCCATTTAAAGTAATTTTGGAGATTTTTGGTAAACAATGAAGAAGATAATCCCTAGGGGACACAGTTATTGAGTTAAATAGCTTCTTCAAGTGTCTTGAATTTTATTAGATAGAGAATGGGCACGAACAATTCAGTTTTTACGATATCAGCATTTCCATCGATTTCAACTAAGGTTGGGTGAACATAGTTTCCATCACCCTCTATTCTAGATCCTCCGTAGATTATCTGACCACCTTGAGATTTTATAGCTTCTAATCCTTCTTCGTATTCTTTAATTGCACCTTTTGTATGTAAAGGACCCATAAGAGTTCCTTATTCTAATGGGTTTCCAATTTTAATAGATCCGTAAACTTTGACAAGTTTATCTCTGACTTGATCGTAAACACTTTCATGAATGATAAGTCTTCTAAGGGATGTGCATCTCTATCCAGCTGTCCCAACTGCAGCAAACGTTGATGCTTTTAATGCTAAATCTAGATCAGCGTCATCCATTACAACACAAGCATTGTTACCACCTAATTCTAGAATTGTTCTTCCAAATCTTTTGTGAACCTCAGTTGAAATTCTAACACCGATCTCAGTAGAACCAGTGAATGAAATCAACTGAAGTCTCTTATCTTGAATGAATTATTCTCCAATAGTTGCACCACCTCCATTGCATACTGTATGAACTGAGTTAAATCCATTTTTCTTTAAGACTTCATTAACAATCTTAGCAGTAGCAATTGTGCAAAGGGTAGTAGAACTAGCTCCTTTCCAAACCATGACATTACCACAAACTAATGCTATAGCAGCATTCCATCCACTTACTGCAACTGGGAAATTGAATGCCGTAATTACACCAATAAGACCTAAGGGATTCCAGGTTTCCATCATGAAGTGACCTGGTCGTTCGCTCTAGAGTACCTTACCGTCAATAGTTCTTGAGAGACCGACTGCCATATCACATATATCGATATATTCTTAAACTTCACCATCTCCCTCGCTCTTAATTTTCCCCATTTCTAATGAAATTAGAGAGCCAAGTGCGTCTTTCTTAGCTCTCAAGGCTTCTCCAATCTATCTAACTATCTCTCCTCTTTAAGGCATTGGAAGTAACATCCATTTCTCCTTTTCTGCTTCCATTGCCTTAATGCAGTCCTCATAATCTTAAGATGATCCCATTTTAATCTGAGCTACTGGCTTATTATTATGTGGATTAAGAGATGTGAAGATTGGCCCATTTCCAATCCATTCACCGCTATGATATACACCTAAGTTCTATTCTTCAAGTCCAAGTTCCTTTAGGAATGGGTATTCACTGAAAGTCAAGTTAGATTCGACCATATCTTTAAAAGTTTGTTAATAGATAAAAATGATTTACTAAGATATCTTTTTCCTATTGATTAGTAGGAAGTCTATATTATACGAGTGATTTAATTTCTGATAGATAACTAATTCTATTCCTGTATTTAAAATTAATTATAGAATAATGGATAAGCCTTCAACATCGTTTAATAAATTAGGTTTACTTGAGTAGTCTTAAGTCATTGAAGTAATTTCTTGCATGATAATCAAATATAGAGAGCCAAAGTATTAGGTGATAAAAAGAAACTTCTTAAAGATTAACTTAAAGACAAGATATAATCGCAGACATCACAAAATCAAGTAATTCAATCTACTTTTGCCAAATAATTGGAGAATGGACAATATTTATGTATTTGCTGTAAAGTGAGACTCAACGATAATATTCAGGCTATCAAGCATTTCTCATAATCATAAGAACATTAGGATGTAATATTGGTTTATTAATTCATTATATAGAATGTTGAACAATTTAAGTAAAAAGTTTAAAGTAAAGTAGAAGAAACTAAGCTATAATTAGTCAAAGAATAGTAAGAAAAACAATAAGCAGATTTAGCTGAAATGTCTGAATCGAAAAATAATAAAAGAGGCTTTATGCTTGTCTAAGAAGAGGAGATAGTGGAGGAACAAGAATTGCTTTAAGATGATGAAAGCAAATAAAACTAAGCTAATCTTGAACTTGAATTGGAAAAATTTAATGCTGAGATGAATAAAGATGATGAGATAGCTATTAAGATGATTAAATTTGAAGGTTAGTATAAAGATAGAGAAGAAGATTATGATAATAGGGGCAAATATTAAAGAAGATTGATTTCTGAGATCGATGAAATAGAATAATTATAGCAAAAAATTCAGCAAAAGAAAGCAGAAATAATAACAAAAAAGAGAAAAAATAAATTAGATCTAAATGAACTCCTCAAAGACACTGATGAGCTTGACTTTAATCTGAAGAGAAGAAAAATATGATCATTTAAGGATATTATTGTACAAATAATTAAGACTTATAAATTTTCAGGATTCATTTGTTTTACTTTTTCATTGTCTCTTAATATGAGCATTAAAGCTGATTCTATGATTGTTTGGGATAGTTAATTGCTTTATTGATGAAATGCTTCCGCTTCTACTTTACATGGTAGTCTTAGAGTGTTTCTTTTGTTTCATACTTTCATTTATGTTATCAATAGTAATTATTTTTTGCATCTGATTCTCATTATCCTTCACAAATCTTCTAATTCCATCTTCTTTTTTTGCCTACAGATCTAATGTTTATTTATATTTAGCTATTTAAACATTATGATTTGCTTCCTAATTTATCAACTATGATATCAAATCTTATTAGTCTTCAATTACTTCTTTTTCTTGTTATCGTTGATTTCCAAATGCGTAATTAAGTTTTTAGTATTAGGTCATCTGATTTATGTGGTCATACTCGAGACTACAAATATATTATTCATACTCCTGCCCTTTGGAATTAATTTTGTAGTTTATGTCGGATATTTAATTTTTTAGATCTATTTCAGTTTATGCAAGCATATGATTTATATCTTAATTCAATACAATTTCTTTTAGCAGCATTACTTATGATCCTTGTTGTGATTAAAGATTTGCTTTGTGATTTGCTAAGGTTTTATTTTGGTTTTGAACTTTTATGTATATTTCGTCTCGAGCCTTAATCATATCCTGAATCTTATCATTAATTTAATTTGAAAATAGGTCGTTCAAATTTTCAAAGTACTTGTCATTGTCGTTTTCTTTGTTTAAAATACTTTTTAAGCCTTGATTGGCACTTTTAATTAGTTCTGATATGTTTACTCCTGTTTAAGAACTAAGGGATTAGGACAATATTGATCTTTCATAGATATTTGATTTTTTCGCAGAACTATTTTGTTTCGATGTTGAGCACAAATTTTTAGTTAAAGATTTTGATAAGTTAAAAGTGCTGCTTCCAGAGAAATGAGTATTCAATTTATGTGATTATTTCTGCCTCGACCTTGAATCTTTTTTACTTGAACTTAATTATAATTTGAAATTAGAGTTTGAAGTCCTCAAACTCTATTCGAATTGAGGGTTTTAATAATAGTTTTAGTTGTTTCTTGCCTATTTTATTATACTTTCAAAGTCATGTAAAGATGTTCTATATGATGAATTCACTCCTTTGCCATGACTATTAATAGATGATTTCTTCTGATGCTATTTATAATTATCTTTTTTACCTGTTTAATTGTTAGAGTTTGAGAATGAATTCGAGAATTACTAAATATTGAGATATGTATTTGAGTTAATAAAAGAAGCTGATGATCTGAGCTGATCGTTGTTATCTATTGATTATCTTATTGATTAATTCTTATAGTCAAATGGATTAGAAAAGATACTTGAAGCTGATTTTGAATTTTTACTATGTCTGATTAATCTTTAAGTGAGATTTTTCTCTTGAATTTTTGCCATTGTAGGTTCCTAATATTTTAGGTCATGATTTTCATCCGTATTTTAATAATCGCTTACTCAATTGATCTGCTCTATTACACTGAACTTAATTCCCTTACTTATAGTTGGTACACTTTATAGATTTAAACAATCGTTTTATAATGTCATTGGAATAACTTATTGTTAAGAATTTTACAAAATTTCTGGTTTCAAAATGATTTCATTAGCCTAGTCTAATATCTGGTTATTAGATTTATTTTAGGCATAAGACTAAACTGAGGATGACTTAGAATATGCTTATAAAGTCATTCCTTACCTGCCATAATTGCTTGCGTTAAATTGAGTTACTTAGCTTGATTATGATGAAATTAATGTTATATGTGATCCAGGTAGCCTTGGTATAAGCTATCAACCAAAATTCTTCTGATCATGACTATCATTTGAAGCATAGAGATCAACATTTTCATCTTCATTTAGGATACTCGTAAAATTATCAAATAAATGATCCTCTTCTATTAATGGCGCGTATCTGTCTGGTGATTTTTAAGTTTGTTTGATATTTAGCATTTTTATAAATTTTATTTTCTCCTTTAATTTGATATCTTAAACTGAAGCATGGGGTTTTGGGGTTTTGGGGTTTTGGGG